AAGAAAATTTCATCTTTGTCGCATTACAGAAACACATGTTCAGTAGAGTATTGTTATTTTTTCTTGTGACACTAAAATACAGTACCTTGATATTTTCTCTAGACTCCACGTGAAGGACAGTGTGGGAATGTTTTCCCAGACGTTCTTTTGTGTAATTGATGTGTTAGTCCTGCCACGTGAATGAGAAAATTTAGTATGGTTGTTTTTTTTAATTGTTGCTTTTTGTTTCTTCTTTTTCCTTATGGCTCATCCTTGTATGGGCACTGAGGCACTGCCCCTTTGGGAAACAAAATTCCCCTGCCTATAATGAAGTGTCACAGGCTTTAACCATGGTCTTGTGGTGAAAGGCAGCGTGGGAAGTTTGTTGAACTTCCTGACCCCACACACCACCACAGCACATTGACCCTCATCACGTGATAAAGGAATGTTCCTCATCTTTTGTTTTAACATCCATGGCACTCATAGGGTTGAGAGCAATTTTGCATACTATAGAATGATCACTAGCTTGGCATTTTGCCTCCCCATTCTCCTCCGGCGTTATTATCAAACAGGATTTGTGGGCTGCTCTCTCCTGCATCTTTTAAATCACTTCAAGCGCTACTGAAGCCTTTTTCACCCAAAACGGGCACCAATCTAATGGCATCATTTGGGCCTGCACACATCAAGAGAATCAACCCCCTTTTTTTTCCATGCTTAAGGTTTTGTGAACCAGGGGAAAACAAAAGGCCGGCCCAGTGAAGCGCATCTCGCCTGGCCGGCTGAATAGAGGGGCCCCTTTCATGGCTGTTTATGAGCACCCCTCTTCAAAAACACACATACAAATCACATCCAGTTCTCCCAGTGGCTCCTCTAATATGAGGGTGACGGCAGGAAAGAAAGGGGAAGGGACTGGAATCTAGTTCTGCCTCTTTCCACTTATTCTGTTCCAGTTGGTTAATTCCATCAACCAAAAAATTATGTAAAGTTTTTGACATGTCACACATTTGTTAGGCATTGTTTCTCAATAAAAACGAAAAAAAAAACCAAGCAAACAAATAAACGAAGAAAATGCTAAAAATTATTTAACAGCTTTTTAGAGAAATCAGCTGATTTCATGTGACATAAAGATACCAGAAGAATTCCAGCATCCTCTAAAATGTGTGGCAACCAATGAAGAGATGAGTAATATGCACTCTGTTACAGTAACAGTGTTCGGCACAGTCATCTGTAGTTTTGTTAAGAATCAAAATTGCATAATGGAGCTGAGTAATCATCCCCATTTGAAGTCGCATAATAAAAATACTAATAGCAGTAATAGCACTTTGGGCACGTCTGCTGAAAACACTGATAACAGACAGAAGAGATAAAAAATTCAACATTACAAAATAGCCACTGACGTATCAAATGTCAGTGACATTCAATTTATCCTCTTTGTGGAAGTACAGCAAGTTTCATACATTAGAAATAATGTCCAGAGCAGATACTGTGTTCCTATTACACTTTGCGGATGTGTGCATTGACATGTACGCGGAGGAGGAGTGAGCTGTAGTGTCAAAAACTTTTAATAAATTGAAGTCCTTCTGCAAGCTACCTTTCCCGCTCCATGTCAAATGTTGTTCAACAGGTAGGGTTTGATGGACAGGAGGAATGCGGGCGGGATTTGTTTTGTAATGGCAGTCCATTCTCTGGGTGTTCTTGAGCAAATAGTGTGGCGCTATGTCCTGTTTTTACGGGTTTCACACGTCACTGTTCAAACTCTCAAACAAACTGATCCCCAAGAGTACATGGAAGAATGGAAGAGAGCAAACAGCGCTCTAATACTTCACCGCTCCGACCTTCTGCTAACTTGACATACACACAGACAAACATGCAGTCACACACACATACAGCTTTTTACCTTTTGCTGAAGGATGTGAGTGTGACCCACCTGATTTTTCAGGACAGTCCCACTCATTCTTAACTTTAGCTGAATCCTTACATTCTCTCTAAACATTAAAACATATTCTTTATTCCGTTTTTAGATTCCCCATTGTCTTCACGCAGGGAATTGTTTCTATTCATGCACAACAGGTCTCGCAATCTCTGTTGGTGGCTGCTGTGTGTCATGATTAAGCAGCAAACGAACGCCCCGGTTTGGCTCCGTGTGCCAGCCTAATTGAGTGCTACTTTAATGCGTTTGGGTCAAACGCACGGAAAATGGTGGGAATTCTGTGGGAAAGTTTGAGCACTCATAAAATGATGGATTTTTAAGCACTCCCTTTATTCCAACAAAATGTAATGAAACAGCCCAATGTGTTTTTTTATTAATGGCATGGAAAAAAAATATATAGGAAACATGTAGGGGCTCCCTGCTTGGTGCTCCGTGCTGTGTGTCTCAGTCTGATTTAGTTTATACAAGCATTTGTTAAGCAGTCAGGCGTGTATGTGTTCGGACTTGTGTGTCACTGTTACACTAATGCCAAGCTCCCTGCCATGTTTTTCTTTTCTACAAACATAAAAGAATCAAACACCTACTGCTTCCATAGTTGCCTCTGCGATCCACTCTTTACTGTTCTTTTCTTTTGTGCTCGTTTTAAGTCTCTCTTTGATATAGCAGGCATTCCTTGGCAGTTGTGTAACATGATTTGGGGCAAAAGGAGAGAGAAAATGAGATAGAAAGAAGGTGAGAGAGAGGGAGAAAGAGAGAGAGGAGGGAAAATGGTTTGTCTTGCTGCGTTTCGTGTCCTGCTGTGCGCTCATATTTCTCAGCCCACTTCACAGTTGTGGGGTAGCTGGCTTATCGTGGGGCTCCTCAGCTCTTTCCATCATGCGTGGCCTAACTTAATCTCTCTTGTGTACTGTAAACTGCACCTAATAACCCTGCACACGATTAAAGCAAACATCTTAATAATGGCCTGTCTCATTATCAGCTCGCATTGGGAAAACGAAAGGTTCACTCTTGCCTCTATAATGTGGCTCACAAATAATCCAGAGAACAAGGCAACCTGCTTAGTTAGTGTCTCATAGAAAACCAAAGAAATAACCACAAGCCTGACGTTTTAAACGGAATTATCTGCATTTTAAGTAAAGCAAATGTTGCTGATTAATCCTGTGCTTGAGCAACGTTTTCTGCACGTCATGCAGAGACCAGGAGTGAGATGCAAGATTGAATGAATTGTGTCACTCTAGAGGGTGCTGTTTGCTGAGGAAATGTGCTTTCCTCCCTTTTTTCCTTTCCTGCAGCTCACACTAAATTCTGTTCCTCCTGCTTTCTAAACGTGAAGTCTTAAACTTATCCGACCAGTGTAAAGAAGATCGTAATAGATACAACAACCCACATTTAGTGGATATTTTACGTATCGTTTGTTTTAGATTGGACTCGACTCTAAAGGCAAAGGAAGGAAAGGATTTCGGGGGAAATAATAAGTCTTCGAGAGACTGTGTGGTATTGTGGTGCAAGGCATCTTTGACGCGATGTTAGGCCACGGTAATCCTTCTTTGTGTGTGTTCTCCTCACCTGTATGTCCTACACACAAATGCCCACAAGATGTTTACACAGGTTTCATGCAGCCAGCGAACGTGGAGAATGAGCTGCCAATCAGGCCTCCGCTGGCAGAGTGGAGACGGGGAAGAATGCGTCCGCGATGATGGTTACACCTGTGCTGTCAGTGATTTCCTGCGGTGGTATTGCAGGGTGTAATCCCTAACATCGCTTGTGTTTATGCTTGTGTTTTAGTTACAGCCTTGATACACACATGCTTTTGAGCTTAGATGGGACTTCTGCTTCATTTACTCCTCATCTTATCCCCGAGGGCATCCTCTGCAGCTCTGACACACACACAGGCTCATCTCCAGAATGTATACAGCAAACTCATGTATCCTCAGTCTCCTATTCACGTTAGATACACAAAACAAATATGCACAGAAACTGAAGACAGATGATTCTCTTTTTTTTATATATCTTTTTCTGTAAAGTTATGTAAAAGGCACATTTGTACTTTTACTTTGTTCTAAATATAGAAAGCAGGAAGCTATATTTTTTTGTTGTTTTTTGGCTTGCCTTATTTAACCGGATCGTTTACAGGAAACGCTAAAGTGTGCCTGTTTCCTTATGTACTGAGTATTTGAGGAGGTCTTTTTTTGTTGTTTTATATGGTTTGTGTTTCGTCACGAGTGACGCCGGCTGCACCACTGAGGTCACGAATGGGCAGGACAAACTCTCAGTGCCAGCGACTGAACTCACTTTTTATTTTAGCAAATATGCTAAATTTAGAGCTCAGCCGCAGCCAAAAGTTTGTCCCAAACTCCCTGAATGACACACCTTTCGAGAAGTGACTCTTAACATCTGCTATGTTTATCATAATTACACTTTTCCCTCTTGTTTTCCTTCTGTTCTCTCTTTTTTTCTTCTTCTCACAGACACAGTAAGTGTTGCTCTGTTTTTCATTTATAAGATTTGTTGGCTGCGTTATTACTGAGAGGATTCTAAAGGAAGGGCATGCTTCAGCTGTGTTTTTGAAAACACTGTGCTCTGACGTTAGTAGAAGTGAAGGACCAGTAAAAGGTCTGCTCTGTTAACACACCCTCTATACACCACTGCCCAGTGAAAGGCCTGTTGTAATAGTGCCATTTCAATCCTTCAAAGTCAAAGACGGCCAATTGGATAATGAAATTTGGTTTGCCATTCTGGGGAACAGACCAAGTTGTGACAGTGCGTAAAGTTACATATGAGAACTTCTGCTGAGTGAGACAGAACCCAACACTACGTAAAGTCTAGCCCAAAATAGGTGCAGCATTGAAGTCCTGTGGTTTGTCTGTATGATGTGACATTGATGAGATCCACCCATCGCTCATCTGTTATTTTTTACTCTGATCCATTATGGATGTGAGTCTGCGCCACTACACAGTGGGTAATGTTTGAAACCTGTTGAGTATTAGATACTCTGTCACTGTTAAGGAGAGCGAAGTGTAAGCAATGTAATTGTACCGCATATTATCAAGGTGTGAACTGACATATTTCCTCTTCTGATTTGTCTTTACAGTGAAGGAATCCAAATTCTTCAGATGAGAGTTCGACCTTTAATTGCATGCTAGCGATCTTCTGGTGAGTTTGTGTTTCCAAAGTCACTGCAAACTTTTTTTGATGAGCTTGGGATGTTTTAGTTTTAGAGTCTTCTCCTCTAAACCATTGCAAATCAACCTTCCGTGAACTTAAAAGTGTGCATGAGTGTTTTATTTGCCGCATTTGTGGCAAAATCTTCTGTAGCAAAGAGGACACATGCCAAAGACTTATGGTGTTACTGTGGTTTAGGCTTATAAAACTGACGTAACTCCTGCTTTTACTGTTGGCACAACAGTAAAAGTAGCCAAGTGCTGTTAACCATTTAGCTTAGAATGATGAATAGAAACCGAATTTCCAGGGTGATGTTTGTTGTGGTGTCCTTAAAAGATTGTTCTCATCCTCAAAATGGCATCTTAACACAAGTCGTCTAATTACGCTACTTTAAAAGGGCACAACCATCAGTACCGTTTGTGACTGTACTATAGCCCCCAGTACTCGGTGTGCCTCGCCACTATCCCACTTCCAATTAGGCCTCTTCACCCCCCCCACCCCACACTGGTAGCCCCTATCCCTTACTCCCTCTTTCAGCTGGTCCACCCTCTGTCTGCCTGTCAGTGTGTCACCCCGGGGTAATGCCCCTCTCTCAGCCCCTTGGGGCCCTTTTGCCTCCAGGGCACTCCATGTTTGCCCAATCATTTGCGAGCCGGATACGGGGATGAATTGTTAACTACAGCAGGTCAGCCAGTGCCCTGCAGCCCCCCAGCCCTCTCTGCTCTCCCTCGACCTGCTGTTGACTCATCTCCATGGCAATGGGGCAGGAATTTCTTCTTTTTTTTTTTTTCTCATGTGTCTGCTGCCAGGCAGTTACCCGCCACCCTTTGCCACTACCGCTTCCTCTTCTCTTCAATCCCTTGGTCTCAGAGCAACCAATCAAAAGGCAGCTGGAGAGAGTCACGTGGTCAGGAAGTGTCAAGGGTGCCCACTGTGTAGCGTGGTGCTGTCTCTGGAGCTTGGCTCAACTAGGTTAGAAAGGCCTTAGAGACAAATAAGTGCCATTTGTTTAGTAGGATTTCCTGACACACAAAGCATGCAGATATTTTTTTTAGATTCTTGCACAATAAAATGTACACTGTGCATGTCCTCTTACCAAAGGCATTGTGATGGCCTAAGTTAACACCATTTACCTCTGTTGATACAAATCTTGCATTCTTTCATGATACGGTGAGTTTGTCATTAAAAATGTTACATGTGACTATCACTGAGATGGTCCTTTAAAAGAAAATTCTGATGCTTTTTTTATTTAGTCATTGTGCAATCTAATTCCCATCATTGTTTCAGCGTATTGACAAGCTTAAGTGTGTGTTTGTCCCCACACATGTTATTAGCTTAGGGCAGGTGAATGTTTGCCTAGCAGTCTTCCCGTATGAGATCAGTGTTTGCCTAGGGAATGTACCATGTCCGATTTGTCATATTGTTTAGCTCATTCAACTGGTCCCTTATGGCTGAGTTGCTGAGTGTCCTGTGAGAAATTGAGAAATGTGAGAAATGTCCTTTTTGTGTTTTTTCCTCTTTGGTTCAGGACATGTTATTGGATTGTGTGACTTGGTGGAAAAGTATTAACGATGGCATATGAGTGAGAGGAGTCCACATTGCCGTTAAGAAAATCAATGCCAGTGTGAACATCACCCATTATCCTCCAGGCACATCCCGTAGATGCAGATGAACTCTGAGAGAAGCTGGCTCTCTCGCTTTGTGGTTGTGAGGAAGGCTCAGCAAACTCATTTCTCCCACTGCACTTGAGTGGTTAACCAGCCATTACCCATGGCATGTGCAGCTTTTCATTTAGTCCCAGAAAGTCTTAATCTACAATATTTACTGCATCTTAAACAGCATATGTGTTTGCATTTAAAGTGTCATTGAGTAATGGTTCGGTGTTTTGTGGATGTCTGTTGAACAATGTCCATATTAGTCACTATTAGCCTGCAAGTATATTCGAATAGCTGTGTGCCTTTTGTGAGTCTGCGTGGCTGTTGTCCTGTGCCACTATCTGGGTGGTCCTTATGGCTGATTTGATGGTAATCCGCATGTCCCATAAATCAGTGTCCAGGGTTTGGCCGGGAGCTGATGCTGTGTTCCTCACTGGAGCAAGCAGCTTTAGGCACTAAACCGAGACCCCAGCCCCTGCCCTGCCCTGACCTGGCCACACGTCAGCTCTCCACACCACCTCTAAAATAACTCATCATGCATGGCTGCCTTTGGAAAATGGCCTCACTTCTGAGCACATATGAGCCACCAACATTATAAACTGTGTATCTGTATATTGTGATTTCAGTCTTCCAAGTTCTCAAAACTTTTTGATCATGTATATTTTACTTTCCGTGAATTATTATAGAAAGTTTTTTTTATTTTCTTTACTAACGTTACACTTGTTTGTTCTGACTCGTGGCTGACACAAAGTGACTCTGATAGGCTTCTAGAGCCCTGCCCTCAGCTGAGATGCCTTATGAAAGAGCTAAGATTAAAGTCAAATCTCAGTCTTTGTAGGGCCTACACTTCTCTCAGAGAATGAGGAGGGAGGGTAAAGGCTCGTCCGGCTGTCTGGCTTGCATACAGCTCTCTACTGAGCTTTTATCTAGGGAGATTGCTTGCAGCTCTGTCCAGACCCGACTCCTAGGGAGTGCACAGTCCTGAGACCTGTGGCATTAATAAAGATAATGCTGTTTGGAATAATAACAGTCAATTCTACTCAAGAGAAACAACAGACACAAGTGGGCATAATACAAAGAAACCTAGATGAAAGGCTGGGAGGTAGGTCCTTGCACCTCTCTGGCTCTCTTGTGGGAACTGATGGAGCCTATATCAGTATGCTCAAATACAAACAACCCTGAGTGGGACCCTATATCAATTTTGACGCTTGCTGCCATGAGGCAGAAACACAATTTGTTCTTTTGTCTGCCTAGATCACAGAGGGAGAATGGTGACTTGTCTTTCCTTTCATTTGTTTCCCTTTCCATTCTCTCTATTCTTGCCTTCAGTGAGTACAATTTAGTTTGATGAGCAGGTGGTCTTTTTTTTAATCTTACAGTGCTTTGGGCTCCCACCTCTGGCGTGTGGGGCTTTCAGTTGGAGTTAGTCATGTAGGCCAGAATTAGAAGGGTGGAGGAGAAGGAGGAGAAATAGGTCCAGTGTCTTGGTATTGGCAACCTTAGCACCCTGCAGTCAGAACCATGCAGTGTGCAGATTGAAAGAGTTATTTTGTTACTCAAGCTTTCAGCCGCACCCCAGATGGCTTTTGTGCTGGCCAGGGACATACTTGGGGACAAGGTTAAAGTGACAGAGTCCTTTAGGCCCGTTGAGTCCCTGGGCACAGCAGGTAAAGCACTGTGGACGAGACAATGAAAGCGCCGCCTGCTCTGCACTTTTCCGTCTTGAATCTTAACACTGAGCCAAAAGAAAATAGGTGGTTTCGAGCAAAGGGAAACTTTTACTTCTCACCACACCCACAAAAAACACACATGTACACTGCATGAAGGTGAGATTCAGTACTTTCACTGCTTTACCTTTGATTTCATGTTTCATCACACAGATACTGTTTACTCAGCTCTGTTACTACTTATAGGAATTCATGGTCAGTCACAGTATCTATCAGACATGATTTTGCCATAATCTCCATGGTGACACCTCGACATGCGAACGGTTTTGTGTCAATCATCCTGAACAAAATACAGTGCTCAGCTGTCTTTTGCATCAAAAATGTCTTCTACTTCTAACTATATTTATTTTTGTTATATTTTAACAAAGAAAAACAAACATGCTCATATTTAAGAAACTTGGAAACTAGTTCAGTCGCTCTTCTGAACCACCGCTTGTGATGTTGAAGTCCATGTGGTCGCATTTACCTATTTAACTAGTACACGACTTGGGAAAAAAGTCTATTTAATCGCATTGTCTGTGTATCTACTGAATTTTTGCATTGCTGATTGCATGCTAACTAATTCAGCCATAATGCTATGACAAACTTGTCATTTAAGTGTCTAAATATGCGACCGTCACTAGAGATGGTCAAGGCTAAATCACATCCCCACAGAATATATCATGAAGGTAGTGTCAGAGTGAGTAATGAAGTGGCGATAATATGGTGAGAATGCTGTGCTTTGGGCCTTGAAGTCAGATCTGTAAATCAAACTGAGAGGAGTGATTTGGTCATACTGATCTGTTAGCCATTCTCGGTTTGTCCCCCAAGTGTTTATCATAGAGCTTTCACAAGTGGCCACTTCTGCTTGCACTGATAAACAGCACGGATTGGATCCAGACCCTGCTGGGTTATAGCTGGAGCCCTTGGGCTTGTAACCACACAGACTGAGAATGTTAGTCATTTGTTTATTATTGGCAATATTTGCCTGCTCCTAATCTTTGGCTGGATTAGCCAGATTAGGTGTTTCTCATTCTACCTTTTTCCACTTTGGCATCTAGGGACATTTACATTTTGCATGTTTTGCTAATGCCTGCACTGACAACATGCGCATGCATAGACATGCTTTTAGGCTTGTGCACTAATGCGCAAATGTGTGTTTAAGTAAATGCTATTGCACATGAATCGCTGAAGGATGTTTGTAATCAAGAGTTTGACTGATACCCCCTCTAACTTCTTCTTTATTGGAGGGATCAGGGTCAGTAGGAAAACTATTGCTGTGGCTGATATTTTATCCCATGCCAGGTCATCTTGCTTTGTGGTCAATGCTTGGAGCTGAAGGAGTGTTTGGATCTAGCAATTTAGGGCTCCAGAAAATATTTTTTGTCATTTATATTTTTCAAACGGAAACACTCGCAAGAGCCCTGTAGGAAACAATTAATCAAAGAAGCTGAATGTCAGTGCGGCGTCACTGGAATCGGAAATTAGTGATGTCATGAAGATGGAGAAAGTGGTCAGAATGGCGATTTTATGCCAGTTCTGTGTGCCGTGAAACTACTGGCCGAGAGTCACCTGGATCAGAAAGGGAATAGGGTTTACTGAAATGAGCTAGCTTGTTTAGTGTGACCTT